GGTAAGTTTAAGCTTATCTTATCTTGTTAGGTGATTTGATTTGATTTGATTCATTGTATTTCATTCGATTCCGCTTGATCATTTGATTTGATTGATTTGATTTGATTTGATTCGTTTAATAGGAACACATTTCGATTGATTATGATTGGAACAATTCTATCTGATTCATTTTACGATGATCTGTGGAATTTGTATTGTTGTTTCAAACTGATGGCACATGATTGATTCGATTATTGGTTAAAATGGATATATAATAATGATAATGATGATGATGAACAGAAAACAAACAGAAATAAGCAAAACAAAACATGGAACAATCCAAACAAATAATCACATATTTCCTTATGAGAATTGAATCGATAAGAATCGACACAATCCAATTTGTCTGGTGGATAGTGAATAATAAGATGAATGTTAGAATAGAAAAAAGGAAATAATAAAGAAAAAGGAAATACAAAAAAGAAAAACTAAAAACAAATTAGAATCATATAATACAAAAGAAAACAAAAGAAAAAGAAAACAAAAGGAAGAAGATAAAATGCCCAAATATAAGAAAATAAGAAACAAAGAAAACTAAAGAATAGCAAAACAAACAAGAATAAACTAAAAATCAAAATCAAAAATGAAATAATAAAATGAACTACAATCAATTCCAAAAGTTGAAAAACAACAACAACAACAATAACAACAAATGAAAAATGGAATAATCAAAAATAGATAAGCAACATCAAAACAAAAACAAACAAAAGAAAACAAAAGAATAATGAATCATTGAGTATTATCCAAATTAATACTATCTCAACAAACAAATATGGATTGTGTCGATTCCTATTGATTCAATTGGATTAAGTACAATGAATCTTGTCAAAACGATTCGATTGAAGTCGTTCGATCAAGATTCATTCGAAATATGTGATTTGTGGATTCATTGGTGTTAAATCACAAACAGCATATTGAATATACAATCAAACAATGGATTCCAAGAAAAGCCATTATCGAAATACTCATATTCAAACCACAACACAAATGGTTCTCACAATATGCCTCATTATTGTATTGTGATTATCAAATGCTGATTCCATATTGACTTGTTCGAATGTAATCTAATGATTTGAATGATATCTATAATAATAATAATAATAATAATGATAATAATGATCAGAAAGAATGAAAGAAAGAAAGAAAGAAATAAGAGTATTGTTATGCAATATAGTACAATGATAGATTCCAGCTAATACAATGATCGAACATAACGATTTCATGAATCTCGATCGATTCAATTGCAAAACAACCATTGAGACTACAATGTGTTTGAGTGATTGTTCCATTTGGATTCGATCGAATCAATTGTATAATTCTATCAGTCGATTGGATCGCTATCAATGAATCATTCGATCGATTCTATATCATTGATAATCGAACAAATACAAATACAAATACAAATAATAATAATAATAATAACCACGAGGATTGATGGTTGAATACTCATCATCAATCTGATTCTGATTCTGATTGATCGATCCTATCCAATCATTCTATTCATGATCAACAATACCAAAGTGATCTAATGGTATTCAATATGCTGAAATAGACCGATGAATAATGTGGATGATCATACAATCATAATAATGATAATGATAATGATGAATGGAGATCGAAAACTAACCAAATACACACCATTCATTCATTCAATCATTCAATGGATCAATGGATTGAACAGCCTTTCTATTCTTATCAGTATTATTGAGTGTGAATGATGAATTGATTCTTTACGATATTCAACATTCATTTGCATTTTGAATCAGCTATCTTTCATTTATTGATTGATTGAATGAATGAGTGAGTGAGTGGTTTGTGTGATATTGAAGAATACGACATTCCATCCAAATATCGAATTGTGAAACCACGATTGATATTACTACGAACTACAACTATCAAGTATCAAACACATCCGATTTGATTCCATTATTATCAAATTGATAAATCCATGTTTTGTGACTCATTGATAAACAAACAAACAAACAAATGATAGTTGGATTGATTGAATGGTGAATCCAATATGATTTCCAATGCTATTCAATAGGATTCTATTCTATTCTATTCTAGTTTCATTGCCTTGTTTTATCCATTTCACCTCTATTTGATTCTATTCTATTCTATTCTATGTATACAGTGATCGATTCCTATTCAATAAGTCAAAATCAATATCCAAATTCAATATCAATCATTCTATTGTATTGTATTGTATTATCTACCGATTTAACAATGGATTCACAAATGTGAATAATCATCCAATATCAATCGATTCCAACCATTCCATTGTGTCACTATCAAATCCAATCTTATTATTCATGATGATTATGATGATTATTCGAAGCAAGCAGTTTCCTATCAATATTGAACAAATCCTAGTTCAAACCTATTCAAATCATCATTTGTATATTATTATTATTATTATTATTATTATTATTGGTAGATTGGATTCATCATTTGTGAATGTTCAATATGTGATCATTGGCTTATTGGTAATAATAATGATAATGATCGAAAACAATGATTGATTGATTGATTGATTGAAACAACAATTATAATTCAGTATCATTGTTAAAATGGTAAAGAAGAACATCATAATAATCAGACAGGATTGATATTTTGATAATTATAGAATCATGAATTGTGATCAAGAATCGGTTTGAAACAAACAAACAAACAATCAATCAATCAATCAATGGAAATGTTCCTAAACAATGACGAATCACTGAACAAATCAAATCAAATCAAAATTATAGATTTAATGCTTGATTTAGTGGACAAGTCTAGCGAGAATCGAAGAAACATCTATGAATCAAATCAAATCAATCAAACTATACTCGAAATTGATTTCGATCGAACATGTAGGAATGAACGAGGTAGGTTGACATTTTGAAGATTTGGAATATCTAAATACTATCAATATTCAATATTCAGAAATACTTGCCAATGTCACTACACGAGGATAATAGAAACTCCATCCTTTGGAAGTTATTGATGTTAGATTTGGAAGATCTACAAAACAAATCATAACCAATCAATTCATTATTACTTCGCATTATCAATGAACTTGAATCATCCCATGATCTTCCATAAAGTGCACAATCACCGAGTTGAATGGATTGTAATGATGGAAGATCTACATCAATCATTTCATTCCAATTCATTCAATACTTTCAATTATTGTTGATAAGGACCATTCGAATGCAAAATTACCTAATGTAATGGATTGTAGATTTGGAAGATCTATGCATCATTCAAATATTCAATATCATATCAATACCTCGAATCACAAACGAACTGCCATAAAAATTAGTTGACCAACTTCCAATTGTTCCAATTTGAATGGATTGTAATTGTGGTAGATTTTTCAATTCAAAGTCGCCAGCAAAATCACTGAAACTATATTCACCAATTTGAATGGATTCCAATGATTCACAATTCAATATGTGGAATGATTTCGATTTATCACTATTCTCCATCCATTCTGATGTAGAATGAGGATTACTTAAGAAAGAAGTGGCCAATAGATTAAATGCATTGTTTCCGATTTTGATAGTTTTCAATCGATTCAATCCATCGATTTTGAATGTTTGCACTGAGCCAAAACATTCATTGCCGATTTCGATAGATCGTAGCCACTCGAATCGATTCAGATCCAATGCATTCAAATCGTTACAGCAATTCGACGAAATCTTCAAATCGGTCACTTGCAAACTCACATCGGTCCATTTTGTAGATCCAGTGACGCTGAATCGAAGAGGAGCAGGTTCTTCGCGTTTTGGAGCAGGAGCAGGAGCAGGAGCAGGAGCAGGAGCAGACATCGGAGCGGGTTTGGGTTTGGGAGTTGTGGATCGAGTGTACCATCCATCATAGAGATCTCTTCCACTCACTTCCACTCCATCTTTCCATTCCACTTCGCGAGTAGCAATCCGAGTTTCTTCATCGATCCAGTATCCTCGACCATTTCGAAGAAACGATTCTTTCGATTCATCATACACGAATTCGCCCACAAACAGGGGAATTCGATTCGAAGCGATGGTGTTGTTACCGTTTCGCTTGAACTCCGTCATGATAGTTCCCTCGATTTTGCGGATGATCTCCACAAGCTTGTTACCCTTCCACATCCCTTCGAGCAGCATGGCACCCGTTTTTTCGTCATATTGGATGCCCCATCCTTCTCTTTCTCGCTTCTCATTAAATTCACCGTGATAAATCAGGTGATCACTCGCATGCGAATAGATTTCCATTCGCTCGCCTCGGACATGGTTTGTAATACGATGAAAATCATGTTGATCCAGAATTTCGTCAAATGATTGGACAAAAGCGACACGTCCATTTTCGAATCGGGTAAAGTCGCCGATTTCACTCCCGTTCGCATCCACCTCGTAGCACATCTTTAGTATGCCATTTTGGAATAGGCAAACCTTCCCAGCTCTCGTCAACGTGTATTCAGCCTCGTGATCGCCTTGATAATATTGGAGGCTATACTTGCAGCCACCAATAGTGATTTCCTTTGGTTCACCACGCGTTATGTAACCGTCCAGGAGAAATTCGCTTCCCTTAAGTTCTTGCATTCTACCTATTTATTATCACATATCCTTAGCCTCTACTCTTTGAATCCGTAATTTGTAGCCAAATATAAAGAATTTATGAAGAAAACAGAGAGATCAGTTTGTTTCTTTACACCTAAGTATTCTTCATATTTAAAAATTATGATAGAGTGCTACCATATACACATTGGATCCAAGATTTCCAAGTGAAGTACTCACTTGTGTTTCGCATCATTTTGTTCACATTTTTGTGGTTGAAATAGTTCGGAGGTATAGATATTTATAATATTTATAATATCAGGATTGTTTGGAAACACTCAGAATGGAAAAGTCCATTTTGTTGTCTACTATGTCTGTATAGGTTGTATATTTATGATATCATAGTGAAATCGTGTTATGAAGCAAGGATTTGGTTGCTCACTCCACTTTGTCTAAATAGTCTATATTATCATCATTATTATTTCGATAATCCAATCTATCCATCCATGATTCTAGCCAAATCATTTTGACTTGGGAATGGTTGGGTTTGAAAACAATTCAAACTAGTAAAACTAGTAAATCAAATCAAATGGAAATTGGTTTTGATCCAGTGATTTTCACACAAAGAACCTATCTTCGCACATCGTTAGCCATTCACTCCATTTTCTATCATTTCCTTATCCTAAACCAACCAACTAACTCTAAATACACTTTCTTTCTATCTATCTTTGTTTCAACTATCAACTCACAGCACTCTATTATTATTATCAACTAGAGTCGTTTGGTTCCTCGTTCTGGATTATTCTGTTCATGTTTCTAAATCATTCCAACACCCTACACACTCTAAATCTACATTTTCCTTCCTTCCTAAACACATTTTCGATTCTCATTCAAATCCTACAACGCTTCAACCATTCCACATCTCTACAATTCCATCCATCCATCCATCCATCCATCCATCTTCCAAACCAAACACCGCAACCATTTCTCTCTCTCAGCAACTGCCAAATCGGTCTGGATCGTGGAAACGTGGAAACATCGTGACCCACGGCGCACCAGGCGTGATCGACGAGGTGGGCGCAGATGAGCGCGCCGGTCACGTCGTAGGCGAAGAGGAAGCGGAGGCGGAGGCGGAGGGGCTGGGTGACGGAGACCACGGTGGCGTTCTGCGCCCAGTTGGACAGGAAGAGATCCAGAGAGCCCGGTCGACTCTGCACACCTTCGTAGGGAGCCACGGACCCCACCCCATCGCCCACCAGATTCCTGCTCACTCACACCCACACCCACACCCACACCCAGAGCGAACCGGTGAGCGAGGAGGTTGGCTCGCCGTCCACCACCAACACCCAACGAATTCCGACGTGGCCATCGTGGACACTCCGAATTGCCTGCCCATCCACTCGGCACTGCCCACTTCGCTCGGGACGCACTCCAGCGTGTAGGAAGTCGCGGGGATCCCACCCTCCAACACGTCCCACACATCGCGTCCCGCGGGGAACCAGACGGTTCGGCGGAAGGAGGAAGGAGGAAGTCGCGGGAGCGCGAAGCTCGCACGTGGCGGTGCAGAGATCATGGAAGGATCCGGTAATCGCCATCGCACAGTCCCACTCAATGCCCTCCGCCTGATTCCACACACACCGCATACAGAACCGCGGGGATCTTCTCTTGGCGGGAGAGATACCCGTTGAACGCGGCCACGCTCAGATAGATGGGCGCGTGCTGCACGCTCTGCACGCTCTGCACGCTCTGCACGCTCTGCACGCTCTGCACGCTCTGCACGCTCTGCACGCTCTGCACGCTCTGCACGCTCTGCACGCTCTGCACGCTCTGCACGCTCTGCAGGTCCAGGAAGCAGTTCGTGCTGGCGACCTCGCTCTCGCTCTCGCTCTCGCTCTGGATCACGGCCATCGACGCCATCCACGAGCGTCGCACCACGTAGTACCGAATGCTGGCGCCGCCCAGCTCCGCCGGCTCTGCCCACTGCACGCGCAGCGAGGTCGAGGAGAGCGCGGCCACCTCGAGGTTCTGCACCGCGCCGGGCGCGACGACATACGCGGCGAGGGTGATGGGAGAGGAGGCCTCGGAGAGGATGGAGCACGCGGCGGAGCACAGCGCCACGCGCAGCCAGTAGGCCACGCACGCATCGAGAGAGAGAGAGAGAGCTCGGGTTGCTGGACGTCGCCCTCTTGGAGGAGCGCGTCGGCGGCGAAGAGCTGGGAGTGGGAGCCAACCAAGGCCTGCACGAAGAGCTCGCACCACCACCAGACCCAGCGCACCTGCGTGGCTTCGAAGGCGGCAGCAGCACGACGGGCGCGGAGGCAGGGAGGGAGACAGGCAGCAGCACGACGGGGCGGTAGACGGAGAAGGACGCGAAGGCGGACCAGGAGGCGCCCTTGCGGACACGCCAGCTGATGGCCATCACGCTGTTCACAATGGCGCCCGCCACCAACACGGAGCGCGTCTCGAAGAACTGGCTCTGCACATTGCTGCCCATCAAGGCCATCCATCGGGGCTTCATCGGAGATGCCACTGCTTCAGGGAACCTCCATCTGCACAGACACGCTGCGCTGCGCTGCGCCTACTCCACTTCCCTCATACCAATCGCGCTCTCCACAATCCGAGCAGGCCACAACCGAACGCCAACCGAACGCCAACCGAACGCCAACCGAACGCCGGCGCGGGTCGAGAAGGTCGCGATGAGGGTTTCCGCGGGGAAGGGGAGGCCGTTTCGGGACACCAACCTGTTGGCATTGATGTAGAGCGTGCGTGCCTTCGCAGAACCGCGGGAAGGAGCCATCAAAGGCGAAGGCGAAGGCGAAGGCAATGGTGTAGTCGGAGATGGAGATCGCGGTGGTGGGATAGGAGAACGTGGCCTCGGCCAATTCAAACACGATGTGGATGTTCATGGGCTCGAATGGGTCGTTCATCACCTCGCACACGCCCACATTGCTCGTGCAGTACATCGTGGATTGCTTCCCATCTCCCATCGTCCACAGCGCCACGTCCCTCGCCCCATCGCCCGCCACGCAGCGCAGCATCGGCAGGATGGGCTGGCAGGAGCCCGTCCCCTATCGATCGATTGATCGATTCCCACTGCTGATAGGCGTTGCACCCATCCGTGATCATGCCCCACTAGTCCACATCGCACTTCGTATCCAACACTTGCCCCAAGTGCCCTTCTGGCTACCCCGCCGCTTCGTCCGCGGGGCACACCACCGCCACGCACCTCACCTCTCTTCCATTCCAACACTTCCCACACGCCCGCACCACGCACACCTCCACCTTCCCATGCTCCACAGACCCACAAATGCACAACTGCACCGTCTTGGAACTCGCCTGCTCCCACTGGCCATTCCAGTTCACTCGGCTCCCATCAATCAGAGGCGAGGACCGTGTCCACAGCAGTTCGCATACTCCGCCTTCTTGTCCCATTCTCCCAAGTTCCACACACGCTCCGCTTCTACAAACCTACAGGTCTTGCTCCCATTGTTTGCCCTTTCACTCATCGCAAATCCGTTCTCTCTACCACACTCTACCACCTCACAATATGAAAATGAAAATACGAGAAACAGAACAGCTATCCTAGGCAAGAACGTCGTGCCTGTACCAGATACCTCCCACGTTGCAAGTTATCTCCATGTATCCGCGGTCGCACATGGCATAAATGGGTTCGCCACGTTGCACAGTTTGAAGTACAGAAATTCCTCACTCGGAACACATTCCACACAGCAAAAATGGAACCAGGGTCCACTGCCATTATGGTATTGAATGCGTTCACGATGCATATCTCACACACACAGTTTAGGCAAAGTAACGATAGCGCACACTACACTAGCTTCTTCAAACACACCAACTTGACGACAGAACCCATCCCAGCTACAATACTTACACTCCCACAACACAACACACAAAAACACATAGAAGTCCGAAAACAAAACAAAAGACAAGACATACAAGTCCAATTCCAAATTTTGAATACATTCAAACCCAGTAAGACGAAGCTAATAGCTTTTATTGTAAAACAAATGATTTCAAAAATACACAGGAATTGTGCAATTGTGAAAATAGTGTTGAAATTGGGTATGAGTGGAAGAATAGATTTCGAATAGGGAGGGAGTTGTTTTTACTGTGAAGTGGAAGGAGATGAGCGGAAATGGGATATTGTGGAATGAATAGATCGAAGAGTGTTGTTTCCAGTGGAAGCGTTTTGTTTTTCGTTCTATTCATTTGGAATCTACTCTAGATGGGATAGAAAGAAATAGGGTATGTAGAAGATGATGATAGGAATGAAAATGGAAAAGCTAGCGATAAGCAGTTTTTGGGTTATCATTTATAGTAATAATATGTGATATGTGTATAGTAGAATCGAATAGTAGAGTTTGTGAGAAAGGTGGGTGTGTCGTTGAAGAACTGAGCAAAATAAGGTAGACTACATAATATATTTTATACGAACAAATAGAGATATATTCATATTCCACTGTTTCTAGGTTTTTGGATAGTTGGTGCCAGTTTTTGTCGTTTTGATGCACTCTGAACCTATCAGAGTTTGTTATATTGCCAGAGAATACTATCCCTTATAGTATCCCCCACCTGCCAAATAATGCAGAATATCTCCTATTTAAAGGAAGGATCGAATTGTTCACCACTTCAATAGGGATACAAAGTGATTCACAATGTTGTTCTATTACGAGCATGAATAACAATAGTATACATAATACTTGCTGTTTGAGTTGGTTGATGAAAGTGAAATGCTTTGGTTCCCAACTCATTAGGATGAATAGAATTACTCACTAATAGCGATATCAGTATTGTTGATGATAAAGCTGAAATCCATAAGAATGGACTCTATGGGAATGAGTAGTTGTCCAATATCAAGCTGTGAGACATATCTGGCTGATTTGTTGGAGGCAACAATCAAACTATTACTTTTCAGATATATATATAGAAGATAGACAATGATATCTATCTATCTATCTATCTATCTTCTTGAATACCTTACTGAAGTTGTACTTACAAGATATCGTGAATGAGATGTACACATTCGAATTCAAGGATATCGGACGGTCATTCGCATCTGTCAGTACCCAATCAATGGAATCCAGGTTCGATTGTTCAATCACATCGATCGATAGGTTGTCCCAGGTGATCATGTTGTTCAGTCCCATCGATACATGAATCAGGTTATCGATCAGCGGACTCTTCAGACCGAATGTTTGAGCATTGATACTACTGTACACTCGGATCACACTCATTCCATTCGTGATGTCGTAGGCTCCTCTGGGTATTAACACCTCGTGTGGAGATATTCCCACATCGATTAATATCACTTGATCGGTTGGTACGTTGTGCAACACGAAATCGGTATAGAGTGACACAGACGAGATGGAACACTTATCGAATGACAGAGGATTGTCCAGCTTCACTTCCTTCTTCGTAGTATTACCGAACACTTCCATCATACTCAACTGGTTCATCGGTAGAATTGAGGATGACACTTGATCAAACACATCTTCGATCGTCAACTG